GGGAGGGAGGGAAAAAATGAGGACCTAATGTGGGGGGCTTAAGTGGAGAGGAAATATTTTGAGAATGATGAGGGCAATGAATGTACAAATGTGCTTTACACAATTGATGTGTGTATGTATTATGATAAGAGTTGTATGAGCCCCTAATAAAATGATTTAAAAAAAAAAAAGAAAAGTGTTTGGACCGGGTCTGGACCATGCAGTCCCTTCCCCCAGCCTCTCGGAAAGACAGGTGATTTGCTGGACTGCGCAGTCCCTGCCTCCAGCATTCCAAGGAGCTTATCTCTCTGGGCAGGGAGGGTCCACACAGCCCCTTCCCCGCCTCTCAAGGCCAGAGCTGGAGTGTGCAGCCTCTTCCCCCACATGCCAAGAAGCTGGTCTGTGGGGGACTCAGACTGCAGCTGCTCGCAGGGAAGCCTCCCTGCTCCTTATTGGCGCAGGCACCAGCAGCTCTCTCCACCTCGTTTGCATATTTCCCTGACCCAAATCCTACAAATATCCCACTGCCCACGGACGGGCGTGATTTTCCTGACCTAATAAAGCCGCTCTTAACGTCACGTTCTCTGTCTCAGTCCTATCTCTGTTCAGTGTCTCGGTATTGACTTCTCAAAAAGCCCGTGCACATGTTTATAGATGTGAAAGTGTGCCTTTTAAGTTCTCATAGGCGGTTACAGAAAAAAACAGGTTTTAAACATCTTCTGATTATACCATGTAAAGTTAACTTTTAGTAGTAGACTTTCTAAATGCCTGGTTGCCCTGTCCTGAAATTGCTCTTAATAAGATATGGGTACACCAATGGAAGGGAATGCCCCAAACTGAAGAAATTGGAGGAAATAATTTTGCTTGTGCATCTGTTAAACAGGCTGTCCCAAATTACTGTCAGCCGTTCACCTGGCTGGGTTCTAGTGGCTGCCAAAGTCTACGTTGTGGGTCAGGTATCAGGCTGGAGGCATCTCCTGACTTGTCTGTCACCACTGACAAATCCTTGATCAGTAGGGGAGACAGCAGGCCACTGGCTGTGAGTCAGAGGCTGACAGGTGAGACAGCTGCAGATGCAGAGGCTCGGGAGGCACAGGGTTGGTGCATCCAGCAGGCCACTGGCTCAATTTCAAATAGCTACAGTCAGATTACGACACGCCAGATACTGGCTCTGGATCCAGCAAAAAGGCAGGAGAGCTTTGCCAGAAAGTTTATGTCTGTTGGAAGCAGGTCAGGCCCCTCAAGAAATTATCTTTTTAATTGACTGGCTGCTTGTAGCATATCTCATCACGAATGTGATTACCTTGTGTCATATCTCTTCTGGGAGGATGGCAACACCTTAACTGCCAAACCACGGAGAACCATGTCCCAGCCAGGTTGACATTACAACCTTTATCACTTTATACCAAAGGGATTTATAGAGGGGTGAGGGAATAACATTTTAAAAGACTTGGAACACTGTCGGTTATTATGAGACAGAGGTTAAAGACGTTCAAAATTGCTGTAGCACTCTATGCTCGGTACCATCGACGACTCCTGGTCTCCGCAGTACTTGCCCGCTCATCTGTGGGTTCCTTAACTCACTGCAGCGTTTCACGGAAGTCTCACACTGACAAGTAAATGGTGCACGTGGTTGTGGAGGTTAGCAGTTCCCAAATCCGGGGTCAGACATTAGGCTGGAAGCTCCTCCTGACTTCCCGTGGAAAAGTGGAACAACGAACTCCCATTGGCAGGTCACCTGTCAGACTGCTGGCTTGTTGGCTGTGTGAGCTGGCCAATCAGGTCAGACCACAGGCTGCAGACTGGAGTTCTCAGAACTGGAATCAGAGAGCAGTGAGCCCCGTTGCCGGACGCAGAGGAGAGCACACTTTATCTGAGTCTGCGAAGATGTTGGGTGCAGACCCCACCCTCAGGGAAACTCCCCTTAACTTGAGCAAGTCGGTGCCAGTGCGACTTGTAGGAATGGTGACCCAGGTAAGGGTGGTGACCTGAATCATATCTCGGGACATTTTTCTGGGGGCGGGGGTGGGGGTGGGTGGGGAACAAACATTTTAAAGATGCTTGCTTATCCGCTCTTTGGCGCAGTGTCCAATCTAATGGGAAAAAGACAATAGACGCACACATTAGAGGGACTTGTGGTTTGGATCCGCTCGCAGCGAGCACTGTTTTAGGCCCACACCCAAAGAGCCAGGAAAGACAGATGTCTGCCTGCGGGGCTGGTGAGGGACCCTCATCTGTTCCCTGGCAGGGACCTAACTGTGCCTTTGACTCCCCGCAGGCCCGGGGGTGGGCGCGCTTCCAGGAGAGCCACCTTTAGGACGCTCCCTCACCTCATGGGGGCTTGGCCCACCGGCCTGTGCCACCTGGGTGCCCACTAGGACTCAGACACCCAGCATCTTCCCTGCCAGGTCAGGACGCTGCGGGACCAACCTGGCTTCACTCAGTGCTCCGAGTGGCTGCGGCCAGCCTGCAGCGCCCGGACCCACCAGGCCTGGGCCGGGCGCGTCCTGGGCGCTGCCCCAGGGCTTCTGCCAAGCCGAAGGCAAACGTTGCCCAGGCAACGCCTCCATCTTTGTAGCCTCTCCTCCACTGCCTTTTCCTTGCGGAATGTACTGGAAGTTGTTATTGTTTGTGTTGATCTGCGGAATGGGGCGCAGAGTGGAAAGGGACGGGGGAGAACAGCGCCCAGCAGCTCTTTTGGGAACTCTGGGGCCCTGGGCACCAAGAGACCGGCGCAGACGCTGTTACAGGACGGCACTAAACAGAGTTCGTGGGGAAAATGGCATTAACAGGTGATGGCTTTTTTCCCACGAACTTTTTGAAGGCCTTTGTACTTTTACAGTCCGTTGGAGAGAAGCGCACACGCGGCTCGTTGCTTAGCAACATAAAGTCAACGTCTCAATAAAACAAACAAGGACCCAGTGAGAGGCAGGTGGTCCAGAGCACAAGGAGGCTGCTGGATCTTATTATCGAAACAGTTGACGGGTGACAGAAACACACCAAGCCTTCCCCTGGGGATGCACACGAGCTGCTGGTACACTCAGTTCAGCCCGATTCTGTTCCCCATTTATTGTGTGGACATTCTGAGACGACCCACATGGTTTGCATGGATTGGTGGTCTATTCTTTGAGCAGATACGCAGTAGGCCCTCGTTGTGAAACGCATCTCCAGTGACTGTCTACGTGTAGGGGACCTTGGTAGCTGGCAGTGGGTTAGGAGTGGCTTGCTAACTGCAAGCAAGGTCAGCAGTTTGAAACCACCGGCTGCTTCTAGGAAGGAAGAGGTGGCTTTTTGCTTCCTTAAGACATCATCTCCGGAACCCATGGAGGCAGTTCGACCCGGTCCTCCAGGGTCACTGTCACTGGAAGGGTCCATGGCAGTGGGTGAGATATAGTTCACTTTTAAAAATTGTGAATTAGGTTGACATAGCAGATCAACATTTTTTTTCCGATCAACATTTTTACATTCAACCTTTCAACCCACCCCAGGACTTGCCCGAGCCCCTCCCTCTCCCCTCTCTTCCCATCTCCCGTCGCTATCACTCAAG